CACCTTCGGATCCATCCTTAAGATGGATTCCACAAAGAAGGCCGGTCACCGCTTTGTTTACTTGCTGCTTGTGAACAACAGTTCTGCTGGTCTTTACACAGGAAGTTCTCTGTGTGCAGGTGACGAAGAAGCTCGCAGGTGCCGCCTCTGGCACGGCCGCCTGGGCTTCCACCGTGGGCAACGAGCACAACCAGGTCCTCATGAGCATCCTCACTTGCTGCGACAGCTCCGAGGGCCTGTCCAAGATGGCGGCCAGACTGATGAGGCGGTACCTGCCCCCCAGCTCATCTACGTGGACCGCGAATGCTGCAAACAGGGCGGCGTGTCCAAGACGGCTGCCTTATCTCCGGTATAAACTTGCTTCGTTGCTGACTGACTTCTTTAGTTGTTTAATTTTTCATAGCAATGATTCGTTATTTTGTTGTGAATTACTTTAATGGATCACCAGGTCACCTGAATTTCTACACAACGTCTTTCTGAACAATTTAAAACAATCAGACACCCAAATAAATTTCTGTAAAAGACCATTTATAGAGCAGTGAATGATTTTGGGTTCTGATCTTGACTGTGGTGCAGGTAAAACACGGTGTGCCACACTCCAATGACTAACCTCTGTCGCAGGAGTGGGAACAGCTCATAGTTGGGCTGGACATCTGGCATCTGATGCGCCGCGTTGAGTACATGATGCGAGCGCACAGCGAGGACACTTTGCTCCTGCTTCTACAAACGAACACTGGGGGTGCTAGAAGCAAGCCCACAGTGTGGGTGTGTCCTCAGGGATGTTTGACATGAAAGGAACACACACCCCATGCACGCACGCTCGCTCACACACACACACTCACGTAACCCCATGCTTGCTTCACACATACACACACACCTAGCCCTCATGCACGCTCTCACACACACACACCTAGCCCTCATACACGCTCTCACACACACACACCTAGCCCTCATGCACGCTCACACACAAACACACACCTAGCCCTCATGCACGCTCACACACACACACCTAGCCCTCATGCACGCTTACACACACACACCTAGCCCTCATGCACGCTCACACACACACACACCTAGCCCTCATGCACGCTCACACACACACACCTAGCCCTCATGCACGCTCACACACACACACCTAGCCCTCATGCATGCTCACACACACACACCTAGCCCTCATGCACGCTCACACACACACACACCTAGCCCTCATGCACGCTCACACACACACACCTAGCCCTCATGCACGCTCACACACACACACCTAGCCCTCATGCACGCTCACACACACACACCTAGCCCTCATGCATGCTCACACACACCTAGCCCTCATGCATGCTCACACACACACACCTAGCCCTCATGCACGCTCACACACACACACACCTAGCCCTCATGCACGCTCACACACACACACCTAGCCCTCATGCATGCTCACACACACACACCTAGCCCTCATGCACGCTCACACACACACACACACACACACCTAGCCCTCATGCACGCTCACACACACACACCTAGCCCTCATGCATGCTCACACACACACACCTAGCCCTCATGCATGCTCACACACACACACCTAGCCCTCATGCACGCTCACACACACCTAGCCCTCATGCACGCTCACACACACACACCTAGCCCTCATGCATGCTCACACACACACACCTAGCCCTCATGCACGCTCACACACACACACCTAGCCCTCATGTACGCTCACACACACACACCTAGCCCTCATGCATGCTCACACACACCTAGCCCTCATGCATGCTCACACACACACACCTAGCCCTCATGCACGCTCAAACACAAACACACCTAGCCCTCATGCATGCTCACACACACACACCTAGCCCTCATGCACGCTCACACACACACACCTAGCCCTCATGCATGCTCACACACACACACCTAGCCCTCATGCACGCTCACACACACACACCTAGCCCTCATGCACGCTCACACACACACACCTAGCCCTCATGCACGCTCACACACACACACACCTAGCCCTCATGCACGCTCACACACACACACACCTAGCCCTCATGCACGCTCACACACACACCTAGCCCTCATGCACGCTCACACACACACCTAGCCCTCATGCATGCTCACACACACACACCTAGCCCTCATGCACGCTCACACACACACACACCTAGCCCTCATGCACGCTCACACACACACACCTAGCCCTCATGCACGCTCACACACACACACCTAGCCCTCATGCACGCTCACACACACACACACCTAGCCCTCATGCATGCTCACACACACCTAGCCCTCATGCATGCTCACACACACACACCTAGCCCTCATGCACGCTCACACACACACACACCTAGCCCTCATGCACGCTCACACACACACACCTAGCCCTCATGCATGCTCACACACACACACCTAGCCCTCATGCACGCTCACACACACACACACACACACCTAGCCCTCATGCACGCTCACACACACACACCTAGCCCTCATGCATGCTCACACACACACACCTAGCCCTCATGCATGCTCACACACACACACCTAGCCCTCATGCACACTCACACACACCTAGCCCTCATGCACGCTCACACACACACACCTAGCCCTCATGCATGCTCACACACACACACCTAGCCCTCATGCACGCTCACACACACACACCTAGCCCTCATGTACGCTCACACACACACACCTAGCCCTCATGCATGCTCACACACACCTAGCCCTCATGCATGCTCACACACACACACCTAGCCCTCATGCACGCTCACACACACACACCTAGCCCTCATGCATGCTCACACACACACACCTAGCCCTCATGCACGCTCACACACACACACCTAGCCCTCATGCATGCTCACACACACACACCTAGCCCTCATGCACGCTCACACACACACACCTAGCCCTCATGCACGCTCACACACACACACCTAGCCCTCATGCACGCTCACACACACACACCTAGCCCTCATGCATGCTCACACACACACACCTAGCCCTCATGCACGCTCACACACACACACCTAGCCCTCATGCACGCTCACACACACACACCTAGCCCTCATGCATGCTCACACACACCTAGCCCTCATGCATGCTCACACACACACACCTAGCCCTCATGCACGCTCACACACACACACCTAGCCCTCATGCATGCTCACACACACCTAGCCCTCATGCACGCTCAAACACAAACACACCTAGCCCTCATGCATGCTCACACACACCTAGCCCTCATGCATGCTCACACACACACACCTAGCCCTCATGCACGCTCACACACACACACCTAGCCCTCATGCATGCTCACACACACACACCTAGCCCTCATGCACGCTCACACACACACACCTAGCCCTCATGCATGCTCACACACACACACCTAGCCCTCATGCATGCTCACACACACACACCTAGCCCTCATGCACGCTCACACACACACACCTAGCCCTCATGCATGCTCACACACACACACCTAGCCCTCATGCATGCTCACACACACACACCTAGCCCTCATGCACGCTCACACACACACACCTAGCCCTCATGCACGCTCAAACACAAACACACCTAGCCCTCATGCATGCTCACACACACACACCTAGCCCTCATGCACGCTCACACACACACACCTAGCCCTCATGCACGCTCACACACACACACCTAGCCCTCATGCATGCTCACACACACCTAGTCCTCATGCATGCTCACACACACACACCTAGCCCTCATGCACGCTCACACACACACACACCTAGCCCTCATGCATGCTCACACACACCTAGCCCTCATGCATGCTCACACACACACACCTAGCCCTCATGCACGCTCAAACACAAACACACCTAGCCCTCATGCACGCTCAAACACAAACACACCTAGCCCTCATGCATGCTCACACACACACACCTAGCCCTCATGCACGCTCAAACACAAACACACCTAGCCCTCATGCATGCTCACACACACACACCTAGCCCTCATGCACGCTCAAACACAAACACGTGCGTTATCGGGTCTAAAAGGCTCTGGAACCTCGGGTGATGACATGAAACTTTGCAGGATTGTCGAACTCGGATCCTCGAGGGCCGGTATCCTGCATATTTTTGTTGTTTCCCTGCTCCGACACAGCTGACTCACCGGTGCAGCAGCTCATCAGGTGCTCCAGAAGCCCGTTAATCACCTGCTGATTGATATCAGGTGCGCTGGAACAGGGAAAACACTGAAGCATGTGGGAACGCGGCCGTCGGGGAGTTTGTCACCTGTGCTTTAAAGGTTCCAGCTTCGGCTCACAACTTCTTTCTTTGATGTTAACCAAGAACCAAGTTTCATAAAAAACAACTCTAGTGGTGAAATCAACAACAGAGGCTTTTTTCTTACCCCAAACTTTACTCAATCTGTCGCTTTACAAAGAATGAACAGATGCTACTAGCTAAACACACCAGCTACTGTAGTCTTTACCCTGCTCTCCTTCAGAGCCCTGCTCTCCTTCGGAGCGATGAGAAACGGTGGCTCTTCCTACCGAGCAGCAACCTTCATCTGAAACGGACGCCTCTAGGTAAAGATAAACGTCTCAATTCTCCGACGTCAGCAGGAAATAAGTGCTTTTGTCGTCAGCTTCCTGTTACTACAAACAACTTCCTAGCGTCACCATAATAAATATAAATAAATCTGCCATTTTCTGTAGATCGAGAAAAGGACGTGGAAAAAATAGCTTTCTTCTCAAACTCATAAATATTATGTACAAAAGCTATAATCAACAACACACCTGTTAAAAGGTAAGGCTTCAGCGGCCTGAAGGGTGAACCCCCTCAGCAGACTCTTTAAATGTGTGTGTGTGTGTGTGTGTGTGTGTGCGTGTGTGTAAAACGTCCCCGTAACTAACACACGGAGAAAGGAAAGCATTTCATCGCAGTTGGATGGTGCAAACATCAGATTTCATAAGCCATGGCTTCGTCCTGAAATAAAAAAGCTAAAGTTCACAAAGG